GTGCTTCCTGTGTGTGCTATATGCTCAACAACTGGTCAGGCATGGATGTGAAAAAGGCCATCAGCTACATTAGAAGAAGCATGGTGAGTGCATAAATGACCCGTTTAGCTTTGTATTGCCAGTGTCTGTGGACTGTCGTATAATAGCGCCTCATCTCTTCCACAAGAGATCTTGAAGTAAGGGTAGTAAGATTGCCTTTTGGTTACACTGTGTGAGCACCTCATAGAAAAATATTAAAGGACACATTGATTCCTTAGCCATTAAAATGTAAATACCTGATTTTTATGTTAAGAAGCCATGTCTTTTACAGAAGGGTTTGGTCAGCCTTAGAAGAAGAAGACATAAAATACTTGTTAAAACATTCGAGAGACAGACAGTTCCCATCTACTAACCGAGTCCAGCTGGAGCTGGAGCCAGGTGCCCGGACCCAGTCCAGTCTCCCATGTGGGTGACAAGAACCCAGTTACTTGAGCCATCACCACAGCTCCCAGTGTCGGCATGGGCAGAAGGCTGGAGTCCAGAGCCAGGGCTAGGAATCAAACCCGGTAATTCCGGTGTGCAACGAGTGTCTTAACCGGTAGGCTAAATGCCTACTCCCAGGAAGTAAAATAAAAAGCAAATGCTGACAGCACAACCTAGCAGGAGTTAGTTCCAGCAAACTGGAAGATTATTATATACTTTATGAGAATCTTTGTTTTGATTTTATTTATTTGAAAGATAAGATTACAGAGGTTGGGGTGAGATAGAGATGTTCCATCCCCATCACTCCCCAAATGACTGCAGTGGTCAGAGCTGGGCCAGGCTGCAGGCAGGAGCCTGAAATTCCATGGGAGTCTCCCAAATGACCGGCAGGGGCCCAGCTACTTGACCCATCTTCTGCTGCTTTCGTAGGCACAGTGGCAGGAAGCTGGATCAGAATTGGAGCAACTGGGATTTGAGCCGGCACCCAATGTGGAATGCTAGCATCACACGTAGGGCCTTAACCCACAGGGCCACAAGAATATTCTTACATTGAGGATGAGTTTCTTAAGTCATTTTTATCAGTAAGACCCAGAGGTAGGGCTGGTGCTGTGGTGCAGTGGGTTAAACTGCCACCTGCAGTGCATCCCACGTGGGCGCCAGTTCCAGTCTCAGCTGCTCTCAAGGAACTGGGCGCTCATCCCAGGTCTCCTGTGTGGGTGGCAGGGGCCCAGCTACTGGAACCGGCACCTGCCACCTCCCAGGGTGCACATGGGAGGCGGTTGGGGTCAGAAACAGAGCTGGAGCTCAGTCCCAGGCACTCCGATAGAGGATGCGATATCTCAACCACTAGGCCAAGCACTGGACCGCAAGTTTTAGTTTTTTTTTTTTTTTTTTAAGTTTTGTTTATTTACTTGAGAGGCAGAGTTACAGACAGAGGTAGAGACAGAGAGAGAGGTCTTCCATCCACTGGTTCACTCCCCAAATGGCTGCAACGGCCAAAGCTAGATTTGTCCGAAGCCAGGAGCCAAGAGCTGCTTCCAGGTCTCCCACATGGATGCAGGGACCCAAGCACTTGGGTCATCTTCTACTGCTTTCCCAGGCCATTAGCAGGGAGTTGGATTGAAAGAGGAGCAGCAGGGATACCGACCAGTACCCATATGGGAGGCTGGTGCCGCAGGCAGAGGCTTAGCCTACTACACCACAGTGCCGGCCCCGTACAAGGTTTAATTTAGGGAGAATGTAAAATGGAAATTGTAGTGTAGTTTGATCTTTAATTGACGGTAGTAAGGAAAGCTTAGTTGCAATCAAAATTTTCATTTGCTCCTCTGTTTTGCCTCTCAAATGAAACTAGAGAAATAGAAATACTGCTTTCCAGGTTTATCATTTCCTAAATGTGAAGTTTTTTATCTTACAGGTTAGACTTTTGGTCCAGTTCTGCTTTTACTGAAGTCAGTATTTCAAAATGATTGCACAGCTCTAGAGGGACGGGATTGTCTTTAACTGCGTAGCTGCATCAGATTTAGTGGACTGAGCAGTAGCCTGGTTTAAGAGCCTCTGCGCAGGGAAGGAGAAGCCTGCAACATCAGGCTTACGTTAGACAGGAGGGAGGTGACGACGCACTTGTGCCGTGAGCGGCGCAGCAGCAGTCCTGTCAGCGTGTCGCCTCTCGGGGTGTGGCGAGCGGGTTTGCCTCATTTTTGGTTGTCTGGTGAAGCTGGTGTGTGCCTGAGTTTTCTGTGTCTCGTCAGCACTTTTCCCTTTGTCGGTGTGCAGTCTCATGTAAGAAGCCTGGACACGAGGTCCATCTGTCCCGGTGTTGTCGGTGTGCCGGTGGTCCAGGTCCGGCGTCCTTCCTGAGTCACAGTGACACTGGCTGGAGGAGAGCGTTCTCTCTGCCTCCGTGTAGAGGCTTCCTCGTCAGAGGGTGGCCCCAGGCTCCTGTCTGGTGAGTTCCGGTCAGTCCTGCCATCGTTGCTGTTGGTGCTCAGGTCGTCCCGCATTTGGCCAGTTGAGGTCCCTTAGGCAGACTGTGGTTCCCTGAAGTCTCCTTTCGTTTTTCCACCGTACCGGGGGCCGTCAGAAAGTGCGTGGAGAATGCCTATTCTGGAAAAACTGTGCGTGGATTTCAGTTTTTTTTGTTTTTTTTGTTTTTTTTCACCAAAATAAAGTTGGGTTTTTACTCCATTTGCCCACGAACCTTTGGAAATGCCGTTGTATTTCCGAACGTTTATCTGGCTGTATGTTAAAAACTGCATCCGTGCCTGCACCTCCAGTTTCAGCCCAGCACCACAGTGAGTCCACCTTCTGACAGGGACAAACTACCCAGAATACATTGGTTCTTTTGTTTTAAGTCTGAGGGCACGTAGTTACTACATTTGAGAAATACTCGTGTTACTTACGTTATTTTCCCTTTTGGTGTTGTTGAAGGATAGGTTTGTTCCTGTTTAGAGTACCCCCGCCTTAGGCCACCCGCTGTCGGACTCTGCTGATTGCATTGATCGTGAGACGTTGGCTTGGTTTTGAACGGTCAGAACCTTGAGAAGACACAGTCACAGAAGTGCGGCTCCCTCTGAGCCCGTTCATGTGTAACCATTCCCATTCAGTTTTTGCTTATCTTTCCTATATTTGCTTTTGATGAGTAGATGTGTGTATTTTTCATTTCTTCCTCTTTGTTACTGAGAAGATAGTACTACAGCTTAGATACTTTCTGTGCTTTGCCTTTTTCACTTAGCAGTATGCCTTGGAAATGAGTCCTTATTAACAGTTGTAGGTATTTTCTGCATTCTTTCTCTCACACTGGTGTATTCCTCCCCCACGTGGAAGTGCTGCAGTTTGTTCAGCTCCTGTGTGTCTGAAGCATGTATTTTCCAGTTGCATTCCTTACTGTAATTAGTAATTTCTGTGTGTATTTATGTATTGTTAGAGCTCTGATTCATGATAAATTCCTGGTGGTGGAATTGCTCGATCTGTAGGGAAGTGCATGTGTCATGTCCTCTTTTTTTTTTTTTTTATTTATTATTTTTTTGACAGGCAGAGTGGACAGTGAGAGAGAGACAGAGAGAAAGGTCTTCCTTTGCCGTTGGTTCACCCTCCAATGGCCGCCGTGGCTGGCGCACCACGCTGATCCGAAGGCAGGAGTCAGGTGCTTCTCCTGGTCTCCCATGGGGTGCAGGGCCCAAGCACTTGGGCCATCCTCCACTGCACTTCTGGGCCATAGCAGAAAGCTGGACTGGAAGAGGGGCAACCAGGACAGAATCTGGCGCCCTGACTGGGACTAGAACCCAGTGTGCCGGCGCCTGGCAGAGGATTAGCCTGTTGAGCCACGGCGCCAGCCGTGTCATGTCCTCTTACAAAGGATGGACTGGTTTGTATTCCCGTCAGTGTTATGAGTGCCTAGTGCCTGTTTCCATACAGCCTCAGCAGTGAGCTGTCATGTGTTTTTTATTTTTACCCGTATTTCTGCTGGCTGAAAAATGGTGTCTTGGTGTAGTTCTGCTTTGGGTTTTGCTCTGATTGAGACTGACCATATTGTTAAGAGCTATACAAAACTTTCCCACAGGCCAGAGTTAGCCTGCACGCATTTATTTGCTGCCCTATTCATTCGCTTTGGAGTTTTTAGGTGTTCTGCTTTTGAGTGTTGCGGCTACTTTGCTTGTGTTTTATTTCAGCTACTTTCTCCCAACCTTTTTTGCCTCTTTGTCTCATTTTTGTACTCTTGGCTGCTTCTTCCGTGGCCCTGTCTTAGCCTGTTTGCATTTATAACCGGCATTCTTTGGGTATCCTGTAATCTAGTCTTTGTTCCTTTGCGTGTTTTACCTTTTTCTTGTTCCTTTCCTGAAATCATTTAACTCTCATTTTCTTTCCATTGTTCATCCATGTCTGATTTAATTTTGATTTCTTTTCTCATCCCAGAAGCCTGTCTGGCTGTGCAGTTGGGTGGGGAACGCTTTCTTGTAGTGTTGTTCCGCGAAGGCTGCTTCTGGGAGTGGGGCGGATATTCATACACTCAGTGTTTTCATCTCAGGCTCACTTGGCAGGTAGATGTGTCTATTTTTGTAAGAAGTTCATGGATTTTTTTTTTCTGATGAGAATTCCTATAGATGCTGCTCTCTTTGCATTGCAACAAAACATGTTTGTTTATTTTTTTAGTGGGTGGCTATTTTCACCGTAGGGGCAAGGGTAATGTTATGATTTTCTACTAGAAGAGGCGTTCTTGTTTGTTTTGCAGACCTATAAATTTTGCTCTTGTGTGTTTTCTTTTTCCACGTGATCCTTAAAGGGACTCTTTCCCTTCCTTTTTGCCTTTCTTCACCAGAAGTTAGACCCTTAGAGTATTGCTGCTTTCTCCTAGCTCCCAAGTCCCTTTCTTGTTTTACCAGCCTGTGTCAGGCCAAGCCAACAAAACAGCGCCAGCAGGGTAGGGATGAGTGGTAACTGTATTGTCTGTGTAGGTGTAGGCAGGCAGGGATGGGAGATGACCGTGTTACCTGTGTCAGCACAGGCAGGGATGAGTGATGACCGTGTCACCTGTGTCAGCACAGGCAGGGATGGGTGATGACCGTGTCACCTGTGTCAGCACAGGCAGGGATGGGTGATGACCATGTCACCTGTGTCAGCGCACAGGCAGGGATGGGTGATGTCCCCGTCACCTGTTTCAAACCAGGCAGGGATGGTGATGACCGTCTCCCTGTGTCAGTACAGGCAGGGATGGGTGATGACCGTGTCACCTGTGTCAGCACAGGCAGGGATGGGTGATGACCATGTCACCTGTGTCAGCACAGGCAGGGATGGTGATGAGTGTGTCACCTGTGTCAGTACAGGCAGGGATGGGTGATGACCATGTCACCTGTGTCAGTACAGGCAGGGATGGGTGATGACCGCGTCACCTGTGTCAATACAGGCAGGGGTGGGTGATGACCGTGTCACCTGTGTCAGCACAGGCAGGGATGGGTGATGACCGTGTCACCTGTGTCAGTACAGGCAGGGGTGGGTGATGACCGTGTCACCTGTGTCAGCACAGGCAGGGATGGGTGATGACCATGTCACCTGTGTCAGCACAGGCAGGGATGGTGATGAGTGTGTCACCTGTGTCAGCACAGGCAGGGATGGGTGATGACCATGTCACCTGTGTCAGCACAGGCAGGCAGGGATGGTGATGACCGTGTCACCTGTGTCAGTACAGGCAGGGATGGGTGATGACCGTGTCACCTGTGTCAGCACAGGCAGGGATGGGTGATGACCATGTCACCTGTGTCAGCACAGGCAGGGATGGTGATGAGTGTGTCACCTGTGTCAGCACAGGCAGGGATGGGTGATGACTGTGTCACCTGTGTCAGCACAGGCAGGGATGGGTGATGACTGTGTCACCTGTGTCAGCACAGGCAGGGATGGGTGATGACCGTGTCACCTGTGTCAGTACAGGCAGGGGTGGGTGATGACCGTGTCACCTGTGTCAGCACAGGCAGGGATGGGTGATGACCGTGTCACCTGTGTCAGCACAGGCAGGGATGGGTGATGACTGTGTCACCTGTGTCAGCACAGGCAGGGATGGGTGATGACCACGTCACTTGTGTCAGTACAGGCAGGGATGAGTGATGACTGTGTCACCTGTGTCAGTTCAGGCAAGTGGGGATGAGTGATGACTGTGTCACCTGTGTCAGCACAGGCAGGGATGGGTGATGAGTGTGTCACCAGTGTCAGCACAGGCAGGCGTGGAGGAGTGATGACCATGTCACCTGTGTCAGTACAGGCAAGGATGGTGATGACTATGTCACCTGTGTCAGTACAGGCAGGCAGGTGGGAAGGAGTGATGACCATGTCACCTGTGTCAGCACAGGCAGGCAGGGATGAGTGATGACCGTGTCACCTGTGTCAGCACAGGCAGGGATGGGTGATGAGTGTGTCACCTGTGTCAGTACAGGCAGGCAGGTGGGAAGGAGTGATGACCATGTCACCTGTGTCAGCACAGGCAGGCAGGGATGAGTGATGACCGTGTCACCTGTGTCAGCACAGGCAGGGATGGGTGATGAGTGTGTCACCAGTGTCAGTACAGGCAGGGATGGGTGATGACCGTGTCACCTGTGTCAGCACAGGCAGGGATGAGTGATGACCGTGTCACCAGTGTCAGCACAGGCAGGGATGGGTGATACCGTGTCACCAGTGTTGGCGCAAGCAGGCAGGAATGGGTGATGATGTAAGCCGAAATGATATAGAGTGATTTTAATTATTACTGGAGAAAAGTTTGATTGTTCTGTGACCTTTAACTTTTTTGCCATCTCTTTTATGTCAGTGTTAAAAGTCTAGAGAGTCTCTGAAAATAGTAAAATCATTGTTTGTGTAGTACACTGTGAGGCAAGCCAGTGCTTGCCACCTGCCCAGGACGGAACTTTGGACAGGGCGTGCGTGGTGCATTTTCCACACTTACCCTTTGTGCGGTGCGGTACCTGAGAATTCCTTACCTGCGGAGCTGCTTGCCAGCGGCTGCTCTCTGGAACACCTCCCCTCCTCGCTGCGCCCCGCGCTCGCTCCTGCAGCCACGCGGCCTTCTCTGCGTTCCGTGGACTGTGTGTGGAGTGTGTCAGGCAGCAGCGTGGCGGCGTTCCTGCTGTAGTGCATTTTTCTGGAGCTTGCACTCGGTTTGGTTTCAGTTCTGCTTCCAGTGTCAGTGCATCTTCGTCTTTGGTGGCCGCCCTTTTGAGTTCTCCGTGACAGTGTCATGCGGGCTCCCCACTGAGAGAGACAGTCTGCACAGCTGCGCCTGCGCTGTGTGAGTGAGGAGTACGTCAGTGACAGCTGCTGGTGGACTTGGTGAGCGGTGAGGTGATCTGCGTTCCCGTGACTCACTCCTTGTCACGCCTGTTGTTTATGTGATGATTCGTGTGGACTGGAGGGCTAGCAGCAGACGTCATACCTGATGCAGTCACTCTGCAGTACCGTGGGTGCTGAAGTTGGAAGCGTGTTCTGTACTTAGCTAAATCATGTGATGTTTGTGCGTACTGCCGCTGTGCAGAGTGAGCACACCCGCACTTCAGTGCTTGGGTGAACTTCTTGTGTTAGGCAGTGACTTCAGATCAGTCTCAGACCCACCATTCACCCTGCTCCCTTCCTCCTCATGACCTTTGACCTGTCATGGTGGCTCGCCCAGGGTGATAAGGGATGGCTTGGTGGGCCTCCGTGTCTCCTTTTCTACAAGTCGGTAATCTCAAACTCAGATATGCCTTCCGGCTTTGCTAAGGTTTGCATTTTATGCGTTTTTTGGGTCTTTTTCTATTTTGAGTTGGGAAAATGTGTGGGCAGATTGTACTTTAGGCAGGCACCATTATCCTGAGTGACCTAAAGCTCCCTCAGCATAGATCTGGCTCACATTTATAATGTTTTATGGGTATAAAATCCTTACATTTTCCTCAACTCCTAAATACTTCCAAGGGTAGAAGAGAAAGGCCAGAGGTAGTATTAGATAGAAATGAAATAGGTACCATCTTTGACCAGTCTGTTCTCAGGGTGTGCCGAGTGTATCCATCAGTGACTTGGTTTGGTTAAGGAGACAAATCAGGTGTTGCAAATGCCTGGTTCTACATCTCTGTAGGTACAGGTGCATATTTTTGGAGATATACAGGAGAAGTGACATTAGAAAAGACAAAAGAATTAGCACAATGGCAACTTATTTATTCGTTTATTGTAATTCTTTCCCTATTAAACTGAACGATGTTTTTCTTTTGCAGTCCTATGACAATGGGCTGGCACAGGGAGCTGGACTTGAATCTCATGGTAAGACATCTTAAATACGTGAACATGCAGTGTCTTCTGTCCCATTCATCATCCTAGTGTCTTCCACATGGCGGCCACAGAAGTCGTTCTCAGCAGTTGGTACAGCCCCGTGAGCTTCTTCGTCATTTTCCTGTTTCTCTCTGACTCTGCTGGGCTGGTTAAAGTGTCTTCGTTTTGTAATCATTCAGGAATTACTCAGGCCAGCCATTCATGCCGTATTCTCTAGTAATTATTGCAGTGGTGGCTGCATGAATGGATCTTGGGATTATTTCTTAATCTGTTGTTAGGAAATCACGGCTTTTCTTCCATGACAGAACACTGAAGGACTAAAGAGATGTTGAATATTGAACTGGAATCCATAAATTCCTGAGGAGATGAGGGTTTGTATTACCTCCCCGTAGTCGTCGTCCTGAAATGCCTTCAGTGCACACGCTAGCACGGCGTCTCCTTTCCCCGTGGCCTCCCTTGTGGCAGGACCAGAAGTGTGAGCTGATCGTCCCCACACCCACACGTTCATGGCCGAGCTCATTGGGAGTGAAATTTCTCTCCAGAAGTAACTGAGTTTCCATTCTCTTCTGTAGAGTGAGCCAGGCCCTGGAGGCGGAGGAGAGCCAGGTGAGGGACGGGCTCCGTCCTGACACTGCCCGTGTGACTTGGCCCTTCCCTCGGGCTGCAAGGGTTTCCTTACTGGCCCAGTAGAATTGGGAGAGATGTGAGGGAAAGTGGTTTGTGAGACTAAAAATGTGTTTAAAAAATGCCTTCTTTCTCATCTTCATTGCTTGGATTTAGATATTCGTTGACTGTAGGTCACAGAGGAGTTTGCAGAGGACTGTTTTGGGTTTTCCTCTGGAGCCATCAGAGACTGCTCCACCACAGTCCCTGCACGCCTGCGTGTGTCTGGGCCTGGGGGCGGGGGCACTGGCAGCCATCAGACACTGCTCCACGCCTGCGTCTGTCTGGGCCTGGGGGCGGGGGCACTGGCAACCGCCGCTGTGTTGCCGGTCATCACCAGGGTCAGGACTGAGACAGCTGGAGGTGTGCAGGGAACCAGGGCAGCTCTGAGCATTTCTCAGCAGGGGTCTGGAGCCCCCAGTTGGGCGTGGTGTCCGCACTGTGGCTGGGAGATGCCTCCCCATACAGGAGGCTCATGGGACAGGGACTGTGGTTCCTGTCTGTGGGGACTGTGTTCTCCGGGATAGGAAACAGGGGGCTGCCCACACATGGTCTCCCCGGCGGGTCCTGTCAGGAAAACGTGTTCCCCAGTCCTATATGCCATGGTTCTGAGTGCTGGGGCCCGAGGAGGTGGCCCCTTGTCAGGACTGTCTGTGGAGGATTGTGCCCCATGCTGTAGAGGGGAGGGGAGACCGCAGACAGAGGTCTCCCATTGGCTGGTTCACTCGTCAAAGGCCCACAACTGTCAGGGCTGGGCCAGGCCAGGAGGCCCAGTCTGAATCCCCCACGGGGTGGCAGGGAGCCCACCCACCAAGCCTGGCCTGCTGCCTCCCTGGGGTGCACAGCAGGAAGCTGGAATCTGGATCGGAGCTAGGACTGAAACCCAGGCCCTCTGTCAGGGCATGTGGGCCTCCCAGCCAGCATCTTAGCCGCAAGGCCAGAGGCCTGACCCGTGTTGCAGCCTGTGAATACCAGAGTCTCTGGAGTCTTTCAGGTCTGTTTGGGGTCAGCGTTGCAGTGGGAATGTGCGTGCCGTCGTTAAGTGTATTCAGAGACTGAGGCAAGTGGATGCTTTAAAAGCAAAGAGGAAGATAACATCCGTTCTTTCTGTGCAGGGATCCTTTGCCCAGGTGACCAGGAACCAGTTACGAGGGAGAGGGAGACACCTGTCCAGGGCTAAGCAGACTGTTGCTGGACGTAGAAGTATTTTCTGTGCTTAGAGTGGCTTTGTGCAAGCTTGCAGTGTGGCATCATTTGTGATAGTCCCTGTTATGAGATGTGAGATTGTGTCAGCTTTAGTTACCATTTTAAAAACTGCTTTTAGGGTTTGACAGAAGTGACTCCGTTTTGATTCTGACAACTTTCTTGGTGCTGAAATAGCTTACATGTTTATAAATTCGGCTTGGTAGACTAGATGCTTGCCACAGTTCTTGATGTACTGGGGCAGCCAGGCAGGGTCTGGGGCTCTGGAGCCCTCGTGGGGTTGCCTCTGGCCAGCAGCACCCTCCCGAGTGTGCCACAGTGTGCTTAGGCAGATGAGCGCTGTTGTCTTGGCGTGGGCAGGTCGGGCGGATGGGAAGTCTGCCAGAGGACTGTGGTGCGGCCTGCCTTCCCACTCGTGCTGTCCCCAGCAGGTGCGCCCGTCCTGCCTAGCAGGGTGTGCTCTCCGTTTTTCTTGTTTTGTGACTCTGTAGAGCAGTGGTCCAGATACACTGTGTGCCTTGCTCACAGACAGCGTTTCCTTTCAGAGTCTGTGCAAGCCTTCAGCAGCTTCAGAAGTTTCCTCCTTTAAAGTTGTTTCAGTCTAGATCCCTTCGCTGTAGAAACTACCGTAAACTGGGGAGTTTGTAAAAAATAGAATGCATTGCTTCGATTTAGAAATTGAAGGTTGTGCCACCAGCATCAACCCAGTGCTGCGCTGGGGAGATGGCATCACCATGGGAGGAGAGGGCCCAGGGCAAGGCAGGAAGCCAGAGAAGCAGCAGCAGTTCCAGCTAGGACACCTTGGACTCCCGGCTGCTGGAGAGCAGCACCACGCCTTCCCGGACAGCTCCCCGGTGGCCTCATTATCTCGCACTGAGCCCCGTCTCCACGGTCTCCCACCATCCCCACATTGAAGATCCAACTTCCGGTCTCTGCTTCACGTTTGAAATCCGCTGTCACCTGCTCCTGCCTTGTGTCCTGCTGTTGAAACACCCGATCCGCCTGTCCTGCTTCCTGACCGCTGTTTCCGACCCCTTCCGCACCTGCTGCTTGCTCTCGTTTCTGCAGTCAGTCCTGCTTTTCTCTTCTCTTTGCAGAGTTCATTGTCTTGCCTCTCAGCACTTTGTACTTGCGGTTCCTGGGGTGTAGA